TTCAAGCATTTTAAATGAGAAACAAGGAAAACGCAGATAGCTGCCATAGTAAGCTTCTGGCTTTGTCAGATTGTACGATTAGTTTCATTTCTCTGTAAACGTCCACATAATCAGTTTCTAAAAGAGTAACTCATTAATTCATCACATATTCGAGCTACAGAGAAGCCGCATCGCATTCTTTCTTTCTTTTCTTTCTACACTTGGTTTTTTTCCTCTTTTTTTCTTTCAAGCACTCGTTGAGTGTGTACAAAGAAAATATTGTTATTTATCATTATTTATCAATATTGTTAAACTAGACTCATTTTTAATGACTTCTTCTTCAAATAATATTTTACAAAACTGTTCAAATGAAACTTCAATGGTTTCGGCTCTAGTCTCAACAAATATGATTATTGATTCACCAACTGTACCTATACAAAATGGACTTTCGTTCAATGGTTCACTTGATGGTTTCCAACAAGTAGAAAAGAAAAAGAAAAAGAAAAAGAAAATTAAACGTAAATTGGCGACATCTGCAATGAAGAAAAAACGTACACGTTAATCAAACAAATAGTATTTCAAAATCTGTTTCACCTTCGCCTGTCTTCTATACCGGTTCCGATTGCTGCTGAACTTTTACTACATAAGGTAGTTCAACAAGTGGAAGTTATTCATCATGTATAAGGTATTCAACAAGTTCAAAATGTTTAAGAATCACAAGATATTCAACAAGTCTTAGGTGATCCACAAGTTCGATGTGTCCTACCTTCATCTCATCCACAACAGATCTCAATCACTACTGAATCTACTCGTTATGCACAAACACGTTACTCCATTCCCTCCTTTATCATCAGGTTCAATGCTGGTAAGTTACATCAAATCAAATTAAAGAACGTTTAGCTGCTTATTGTAATCAAAAATATTAAATGGAAATCAAGATTTTAAATTGTCGCTTATCTAATAGAAGTTCCAACAATGAATATGATTTTCTTCTTTTCTTAAAAGATGCCTCTTCTTTTTCCTTTCTATTAGATCA